AAGCTGCCAGGAGGGGCTGAAATGGCTTCACTCTGCTGAAAAGTCTGGACTTGGGGGATGGGGTTGTCCGAGACCCTCACTCTGGAGCGGGTCTCGCTCCCTCCACATTCCCCAACTCCTTGGCCTCTCCCAGGCCTCTGCCAGCAAGCAGGACCTCAGGCCAATGGATCTCCCCTGGCTGTGATGTGGGCTGGGAGGTTCCCTACCCAGGATCCCAGCCTGAGCTGGGTGCACAGCCCTCTTTTGGGAGGAGGGTTGCCGCTCAGGCACGCTGATGTGCCCCTGATGGCACACATTCCTCAGTAGGCTCTTTCACAGATCTCCCTTCTGTGCCCAGGGGCAGTATGATCATGACCTGGGTGTATGGGGTCTGGTCTGCAGGCCTGTCCCTTGGGCCCTGGAGATCAACCCCTGACCCTGCCAGGGCGAGGGGTGCTGGTCTCGAATCACCTACAGGGCGCCCAAGCTGGATCAATTTCACTCCACTTCGGGATTTGCCCTGCTCTCCTGGAGTCACCAGGCAAGCAGCACCTGGGAGGGCTGGCGGTAGGGAGCTCGCAGTCTGAGTTCCCCTCAGTCTGCTGTACGGTCCCAAAAGGAAAGGTCCTGTTCTTTAGAGATGCCTCCGTGTGATGGCTAAATTTTCTCTCTGGGCACCCACGGGTAGGGAAGGGGAGGAGAGAATGGAGCAATATGGCATCTGCCGACAGGCCCGGGTTTGCACGCTGGGAGGTGCTATGAGGGAGCTGGGAGCCTGGTTCCCTGTCCGCAAGAGGCTCACTGCTCACCGACAGCAGCCATCTCTGGGCTGGTGTTGGCAGGTCTCTCCAACCGCTCAGGAGCCCACCAACAGTCCGAGATGCAAGGGAGGGGAAAGTTATCTGCTCCACCTACTCTTGTCGCTGGTCTCCGAGCCTTTCGGGGACCTTTCTCCTTCCAGTTCTCCTCTGCAACATCTTCCCGTGGAGTCTCCTGTAGTTTCAGGTACCGTTCCTTCTGAGCCTCACCTGATCTATGTTTTTCTGCTAGTTTATTTTTTTCACTTTCTTCTAAAATCTGTCTTTTTTGCAGAGACACTCTGACTGGTGGCTTTTCTCTTCCGCCATCTTGGCTCCTCTCAAATTTCTGTTTTTTAAGCCACCCATTTTGTAGTACTTTGTTATGACAGCCCTAGCAAACTAATGTGATGGTTTTACAAGATAATGTGTCTATTTGTATGAGCATAACAGAAAAGATTATAGGATCTGTTCAAACAAAAGATGAACATAATTTATGTTAGTAAATATGGGGAAACACTTAATTTTCACAGTGCACAGGTCTCGGCTGTGCCACCTTTGATACTGGAGAACAAGAAACAACAAACTTCTACAGAATAATCTATGGAGAATTAAAGGGTTAGAAAAACTACCCAAAGATAAAAGTTAGGGAATTTGGATTATAGAAAATCCTCATTAATTTGGACTCCAGGAATTTGGAACTTTTGATAATTTAGTGACTTTTACTCTACACATATTTTATTAGAGGAAGAATAAATTTAAATGATTTTGTAGACTATTTTCAAGCGTCTTTCAATATCTTAAAGCATCACTTTACTCTTATGAAAAACTGATATGCTGAATTCCAGTTGGCACTAAGCTAATGGTGGCTGCCTAAATCCTAATCTCTCAATACATTCTTCTCCAACGCTTGTATATTACACCACGAACACATGTAAACCGTTCATGAAATTACTCTTTTAGCATTATCAGGAGAGCAAGGATACCACAGACTTCAAATTATCTGTAAGTAGAAAAAGAAACAGTAAATTTCAAACAGAGTTCCTATTGCTGCTGCAAGCATGGAGTGTGGGGAAGGGGAATCTTAGAATCTCTTTGGAAAAGAGGAGAGGGGAGCAGGAAACTAGATGAAGCACAGTGAAAATCTCCCTCAGAAAGAGAAATGCTAAATTAAGGTGTTAAAAGTCTAAACAGAAGTCAGGTCTGGAAATTAGTAATTCACAGCAGTGAGTACAGGAAAGGAATCTGAATGTGAGCAAGATAGAGGGTGCAGCATTGGAAAAACATTGCTTCAGGAGGAGGGAGATAAATAGAGCAGTGACTATGATGCCCCTCAGATACCTGGCATTGAGGGGAAATAAGGAAGTAATGGTGGAAAAATCAACTGCAGAAATGAGTTAGAATTGGAAGACATGTAAGTTACTCCTCTTACCTAACAACTCAATATCATTCATGAAATGAACTGAATTTCACTATAGTAACAGAAGAGAATGCTATCGAACTAGAATTTCTGTACATGAAGTGCTTAGAAATAAGAAAAATCACAAATAAAGAATAAATTACAAGATATCCAAGGGAGAATGTATTGAAATGAAAATTTAATATCATGGAAGAAAGACAAGAAGAATGAAAATGAGGTAAAGAAAGACATTAAAAAGGGCAGAGAGAAAGTAGTTGAAATGGAAGTCAAAGAATATCCAACATGCGTGTAATTAGAATCCCTAAAGAAGAAAAAACATTTGAACCAAACAGATGTTTAAAGCTATAATCCAAGAAAAGCTTCCAAAAATAAGAGAAAATCTAAATGAACATACCAAAAGGGCTCGGGAAAATTGTATTCCCTGGGAAAATTGAGTCAGACCAATCAATCCTAAGATATATTATAGCAAAGTTATTGGAATTTAAAGATAAAAAAACTTCAGGACCTCTAGGGAGAAGAGAAAGTTACTTAATGGCTGGGAAAATTACTCTGACATGAGATTTCTCAAAAGTAAAAACAAGGCAGCATTTTTAAGAAGCTCAAGGATAGAAAGTATGATCCAAGGATTTTATATGTAGTTCTTCAAGTATCCAGACTATAGAAGAATAGTTTGAGACATGCAAAAAACTCAGGGAATACTGTGCCCATGAGACCTTCCTGAGACATCTGCTAGAGCAGTGGTTCTCAAAGTGTGGATCTGAGACCAGCAACATCAGTACCACCTGGGAACTTGTTAGAAATGCATATTCTTAGGCCCAGCCCAGACCTACTGAGTCAGAAACTTTGGTGTGGAGTACATTAGTTTATGTTTTAGTAAGACACAGGTCATTCTGATGCACACCCTGGATGAACTTCTCCCAGGCAAGGGATGATTAAGGAAACTTTGGCCAAGAACTAATAGTAAATATTGATATTCATTGTAGATACAAGTCTAAGAAATGGGTAAAGACATAATTGGAAGAACAATATGTAAAGCACCAAAGTAGAAAGAATACAACTAATAGAATACAACCAAAAATGAGAGAATAAGGGACAAAGATAGGAGAAATAAAATAAGATTATTAATTGTTGAATAAGTAATAAGTGGAAGTCAGAGAATACCATTTAAAACTCTTTGTCAAACAAGAGAGTAAAAAATTAAGTAAGATGAAATATCATCTCACCCCAGTTAAAATGGCTTTTGTCAAAAAGACAGGCAATAGCAGATGCTGGTGAGGATGTGGAGAAAGGGGACCCCTCTTAAACTGTTGGTGGGAATGTAAATTAGTACAGCCCCTATGGGGAACAGTATGGAGATTCCTTAAAAAACTAAAAATGGAACTACCATATGATCTAGCAGTCCCACTTCTGTGCTTATATCCAGAAGAAAGGAAGTCAGTATATTGAAGAGATACCTGCACTCCCATGTTTATTGCAGCAGTTTTCACAATAGCCAAGATAGGGAATCAACCTAAGTGTCCATCAATGCATGGATGGGTAAAGAAAATGTGATACACATACACAATGGAATATTATTCAGCCATAAAAAGAGTGAAATCTTGTCATTTGCAGCAGTATGGATGGAACTAGAGGACATTATGTTAAGTGAAATAAGCCAAGCCCAGAAAGATAATCACATGTTCTCACTAATATGTGGGAGCTAAAAAAAAATGATCTCATGGAGAGTAGAATGATGATTACCAGAGGATAGGAGAGATAGTGGGAAGGGGGAGATGGAAAGGGGTTGATTATTGGGCACAAAATTACAGCTGGATAGAAGGAATAAGATCTGGTGTTTGGTAGCATAATAGGGCAACTACATAGTTAACAATAATTTATTGTGTATTTCAAAATAACTAGAAGAGTGGAATTGGAATGTTCCTAACACAAAGAAATGATAAATGCTTGAGGTGATGGATACCCCAATTACCCTTATTTGATCATTACACATTTATGCTTGTATCAAAATTTCACATGTACTCCATAAATATGTATAACTATTATATGGCCATATAAATTAAAAATTAAAAACAGCAAAAAAAAAAAAAGAGAAAAAAGAGGATTAAGAGCATCATGGAAGATGTAATGACAAAGAAACCAGTAGAACAACTCAATTAAATGCAATATATGATCCTGGATTGAAAAAAGTTGCCAACAGGACTTATTGGTACAACTGATGAAAGTGGAATGTGGAATATAGGTTAAATAAATTATTACATCAATGTTAACCTGAATTCTGTAGGAGTAATATGAATACTCAAGAGAATATTCTTGGTGTTAGGAAATATATGCTGATGATTGGGTAAAGTGGTGAAGGGCAAATTTTGATATTAAAATTTTAGATACGGGAACAGCTTTATAATTAAAGTATTTAAAAACATGATTACTATTTATATAGTCTGATTTGAAGCTAACCAGAGATGAAAATATATTTGATTATTTCTTCACATTTCTCATCCTGTAATTCAGTGATCACTTACTGTAAACCTCATGTGGATTTGGAAAAAGCAGAAAAAATTTTGCATTAAGTATTTAAGGTTTTCACTTTGCACTGCTTAATCCAAATAGAATATCCAGCAAATAAATTTAGTTGTTTCTTTTTAGATGTACTAAAATTCACATTACTAATGTGAACTCACTTACTCAGGGTGGAAATAGTAAAGATAAGTATGAATGGTATTTCCTAATATTTTAAAATTCATTTATAGCAGCTTTGTTTCAATTTTTAAAATATTAGTGAAGTACATTGTTTTTCTCTTTTAAAGATATGGATGTAATGAGACCCTTGATAAATGAGCAGAATTTTGATGGGACATCAGATGAAGAACATGAGCAAGAGCTTCTGCCTGTTCAGAAACATTACCAACTTGATGATCAAGAGGGTATTTCGTACGTGTTAAGTCTCCTTTTCATCCAGTATTTTTTGTAATCTTTTTCTACGGGCAAGGCATTTTACTAGATACCACAGAAGGCACAAAGATGAAGATGTAGTTTCCATCTTCAAGGAATTTATAGTTTATTTGGGAAGGAAGAAATGCATTTAAATCCCAGAGCAGTGTATAGGAATTACTACTATGATGATACATATCAAATGCTATGGATCTAGAAAAGATGGAGATCTGATTGAGAGGAAGTGAAGCGGCTTCTGAAATGATTAGAAGTTAAATAGTGGGAAGTAGTAAATACTTCTTTATGCTGAGTGCATGGTATGAAACAAAGTCATGGAGGTAGGAAAGCATTGGAATGCTTTTTTAACCCTTTTTTGACATTTTGTCATTAATTAATCTGAATAAGTTCTTATTCTAATAATAATTTAATAATTAAGCAAAGTAACATGAAACTTAATTAATTAGAAAAGATGAGTACTAACTGAAAAAAAGATTTTAGACATTTTCATTTCATAAGTTTAATTTTTTTTGTTCTTTTTTTCTAGTTTTAATTGATTTCTTCTTGATCAAGAGATCTTTTTTAAATGCCTCTTAGAAACTATTCTTATCAGATCCATTAGGGAATTCATGATGTCTAAAAATTAATTCATTATTTATCTTACCTGGTGATATTATACATACAGTTTTAAAACTTGTATTTGTTTTCTTTTAATTAACTCCTCCTTAGGTTGATAGTCATAAATCAAATATGTTTAGTATCATGATTACATAGGCAGTGTCAAAAAATTGCTATCTTACTAGCCTAATCTTCAGCATTGTTCTTAAAATCATAGCCACAAAGTATCTTATGAGAAAATTACCTTTTCTTTAATTATTACTTTACTGTTTGCAAAAACACTTTCACTTAAATATGTCATTTAATCTCCACAGTAACTCTTGGTATTTCACTGTTAAGTAGCAAGGATAGGACTTGAACCAACTATGACTTCTGGCCCAGTTGTGGCATGGAAATGTTAATTTGTTTACTTGCTAAGATTAATTGTCAGTTCCCTTCTAATACCAAAACCATGAGCATGTGATTTTAAGGGCATTTGTTCTAAAATGTTTAAATATTACAACTTTTACTTTTCAGATTTGTACAAACTCTTATGCATCTCCTTAAAGGAAATATTGGAACTGGCCTTTTAGGACTTCCGTTGGCAATAAAAAATGCAGGCATAGTGGTAAGATTTATCTTTGTAATCTCCAGTTAAGATACAGTTACCAGTCTAATATACAGCAAAAATTACCACAGGCTAACATCCAGCCTAGTCAAATATAACCTGGTCAGGTGACATTTATATGGTCATTTAACTGTTACATCCATAAAATTATGTGAACTATGGTAATGATATCTAACAAAAAATGAGAATTAGTTTTTCATTTTTACTTATTTGTAGTATTTAACAAAACTCCAAACCTAAAACAGTGTTTGATTTTTCCAGATATAGTTATATCTTATTATTCTTTTAGATTT